GGTGAACTATTCCTTTAAGACCAAAGCACGAACTTGGATCAGGATTATTCCTCAGTTAAAGTTCTCTCATATAAATTGTCAGTCTAGTAGGTTGGTAGCACAACAGCAAGACAAACAACATCTAAAAATAAAAGTGTGATGTGGTTCACGTCAGCGACCTGCAGAATATTACACCACTGCAAGCACTGAAAGACACACACTATACAAGAAAACTTCAAAACAGGCTAATAAACCTTATAAAAACGTCAGTTTCACTCAGATTAATGCTACATTGTGTTTCATGATAAATCTGACTTCATGTGCCATTTGTCACAGTAATATAAATATTAAAGAAAATGTAAATAAAATCACTCTCATATTTCAAATTCTGCTGCATATAAATCAATCTTACTCAGGAGCTTACTTTTTTTTTTAGCTCATTCTGCAAAAGAAAATAACAGAAAATAGTATGTAACAGCTCATTTAGTTTTATAATGTGACGCATTTAGGACAGAAACACAACAAAAAGTCAGGCAGGATTTAATTTTATCCATCAGGATGATTAGACTGAAAAAGTGGCCGTTATATACTGAAGTTTGGGGTCAGTTAACAAAACACAGTCAAATGTATCTTAAGTGATGTCAGTGAAAAGGAAACGCTATAAAATTTTGATGAAACATTACGAAGACAAACTTTTGTTCTTTAGAAGTCAAGTCAAGTCAAGTCACCTTTATTTATATAGCGCTTTTAACAATACAGATTGTGTCAAAGCAACTGAACAGCATTAATTAGGAAAATAGTGTCAATAATGCAAAATGACAATAGTAAACACAAATTTTTCAGTTAAAGACAGTTCATCATTGAATTCAGTGATGTCAACATCCAGCTCAGTTTAAATAGTATCTTTGCAATCAAGTCAACGGTATCGCTGGAAATGAAGTGTCCCCAACTAAGCAAACTCATAAGAATGTCACTTATGAGTTAGGTTTGTTAGCGTCAATTCGGCGTCAATTGCTTGAATGCAACAACAAAATATGACGTCAAACTCACTTTAGCGTATATATAAAACATAGGACTTTTATTTACAAAACGAATAAAAATACACCATGCTATAAGGCAGGCTATGCCTAATATAAAATAACAAATAACTTACATAATGTTTAAATAGGTATACAAAAATGGAAATAGCCTAAGTAAACATGTATAATATATAACCAAATAAATAAGAAAAGTAGAACGTTTATTAGCAAAACGAGTAAGAAAGCTTGGAGGCACGCATACACCTTGATGTAAAAAATAATAATAATAAATGACACAAAGTTTAAATAAAGTAAAAATCAGTAAACACTGTGGAACCAATTAAATAAGAAACGAATGTTTAAAAAAACTTCCAAAATCACCTTTGATGAACGGCAAAAGTCAACGGGCTTTTCAAAATCCAAAATACTGCCAAACAGTTGCTTTAGCATCTCGTTTCGAAACTAAATCATCCGCGATCGTCTTGTCTGTCTCACCTCACTCTTCTCGTCAGTCGGCTCGACTCACTCTCCTCACTGGAGAAATGAAATCTGATCTGTGATGCGACTGTCATTCGGCACGCTGCATTGAGCAGCCGCGTTCAGTTTTTAATTGTAGTGTCTGTTCTATACTGAACTAAATGATTTTTATTACTATAAAAAATCAAAACGTGAGGGTCGGTGCCGCGGTGGGCAAGTGACGTAACCGGTGTTGCGGCTTAACACCGGTATCACCGTCAACACCGTCTATCGCAGCAAACCTATTATGAGTAAGACCTAGGGCATGAATTAATAAAGTAAATGTTACTTTCATAACATGTAAATGTTAGAGCAGCATACGGTGTAGTTTCAGCTAAATACTAAAAACACATCGGAGGTTTAAGTGGCTCTGAGCACATTCGATTTTCATCTTCAATACTTCAGGCACATCAACAGAGTAATCCTTCATTTTCCAGCATATTCTTGCTGGTCAAGAACAGAACTTCATCTCTCAAGGGAAATTATGACTTTCTGCCGTGAGAGAGGCTCACAGTGCTGTAATTTGCTGCAGGTGCGTGTAGTTTTCCTGTCATTTTCTCAGAAATGCTTCCGTTTGTCAATAGCTCTATTGTATTTCTATAAAGAGGGAGAGCAATTCATTTCATTCGTTAAATGTCAGCTCACACCCATTTCCTGTGTAAGGCTAAATGATAAAACGCTTCACATATGTTTCCAGGCAGATATTCCTTAGAATCTGATGCAAAGACAATCATTTAGTTATTAAGGAATATCAATCTACAGACTACACTGCGATCACGTTCATCTCGTGCATTTAACTCTTCTCTAATTAACATTTTATGATTAGTTCATAAAACCATCTAAATCTGAGAGCTTTATTCTTGTTAGTTTTGTCTGCAGTATTGCACCAAAATACTGCTTCTCAAACAACCGCTGAACAATGAGGTTACTTAATTTATCTGTAGAAAACTGTACAAACACTGAATGTGTGCAATATTTACAAATCACGACATGCAAGCAACAAGATTACGAATGTCACATTAAAAGCCTCACAGCAGGCTATGATGAATTAGGTCAGGTGATTTCACTGAAGATCGTCAGATATGGCATTACGGTGTAATGAAAATAAGTTTGTTTTTTAAATAATCTAATAATTTTATTTAGCAAGGATGCATTCAAGTGATCAAAAGTGACAGTAAAGACATTTATAATGTTACAATTGATTTCTATTTCCAATAAATGCTGTTCTTTTGAACTTTCTGTTCAAAATAAAATGTATCACAGTTTCCACAAAAATATTGAGCAGCACAACTGTTTTCAACATTGATAATAATCAGAAATGTTTCTTGAGCAGCAAATCAGCATATTATTATGATTTCTGAAGATCATGTGACACTGAAGACTGGAGTAATGATGCTGAAAATACAGCTGCGCATCACAGAAATAAATTACTGTTTAACAGATATTCACATAGAAAACATATTTTACATTGTAATAATATTTCACTATTTCACTATTTTTACCGTATTTTTGATTAAATAAATGCAGCCTTGGTGAGGAGAAGAGACTTTCAAAAACATTTTTCAAAACTAAAATACATTTTAAATAAAAATAAACATTATTCATTTATAAATAAATAAAATTATTTCAAACGTTTTAACAATAGCACAAATAATGTTTTTCCTAAGATAAACAACTGATTTGGGTTTATCAATCGAAGTGTCACTATTGTCTTTTAGGGCTGCTTTACAGCAAAATCTGAATTTTCTCAGCATTGTGGCTCATTCTTGAAGCAAAGTTTTGCCTGAATGATGAATAGATTCACGGTTTTGGATCGCTGCATTTAAACTGATAAAGCAGGTACAGAATGACGTGTTTAGTGTGTGATAGAGTAAACAGTAATAACACGTGCAGCGGCAGCCTCCCCCGGGTCCTAAAGCTCGTTCGGTAAAGAGTTTTAATTCCGTAGGGGGCGCTGTTGGCCTACTTCTAATACAATGAAAGCAAAATACACAAATAATATTTAGACCGTGTTTCTGATTAAATACAGCAGTAATTGATGCCATAAAATCATGAGTAGCCTATGTTTTGATTTAAAGGTCAGAAGCTATAGCTTACATGAACAAAAAAATAAATAAAATCACAAACATGACACTTAAATTAAATAATTTTTTATATACTGATTTATTCATTAATGTGTAATATGTTATATTTTTTAAACAAATTATGAGCTCTAAAAGATTTTCAGAATTTTTACAACTCTTTTGCTTTAGACCATCTACAAATGTTAAATCTTAAAATAAAAT